TGAGTGTGTGAAGGCGTGTTGAGTGTGTACAGGGTCTCGGAGGCGAGTGGAGGGAGATTGCCTGGGGGTCGCGTCGTGTGGGCCTTTGCGCTGGCTGTCCGCGCCTTTCTGCTTTGGACGCTGCGCGCTTTGCTGTGCTTGTGGATCGATCCGCTCAGTCTGTTATGTTAACCCTTTTTAGCGTAGGCAGAGGGCCTGGGCGTTGAGGCACAACGCGGTTGTGCGACTCGCCTGTCACTGCGTGGGCCTTGAATTGAGCGACCCTGGCCGGGGCGCTGGTGTAGCAGCGCCGCCTGTTTCAGAGGGATTTGTACCTTCATCAAAGCCATGGGCAAGAAGCTTTTCTCCCGCTCCGCGGACCTGACGCGGCCGGAGGACGTGCGTGCGGGTAGCGCCCACAGCACGCCCTCCCATCGTGGTACCCGCAAGCTTGACGTCAACGTCATGCGACCTGATGACATTGGCGGCCCCATGGCCGCCTCAGCGCCTCTAACCACGGAGGAGATGCCACCCGTCCCTCAGCGAGACGTGTTGGAGCAGCAGCTAACCGGTGTCCTGGTGCGACCTTCCATCTCAACTTTTCCTCATGTTCAAGGATGCATCCGCGGTTCACTGTTCTCTCATGCTGTTTGTTCTCACGGCATCTCGCTTGTAGGAGAGCATGAACATCCCACGCCCCAAGCGAGCTGAGATCATGAATCAGAGTGATGAGAAGAAGTGGCAGCTCGTTTGGGCTCAGGTATGCCCGCCAACACCTTGAGTTTGGCAACTCGTCGTCACCTCGACAGGGCCTTCTTTTTGAGTCTGGCCCACTGACAGTTGGCTCATTTTGAATTTGCCGTCTAGATGAAAGTCAAGGCGCGCTACAACCCCTCTCATTATCTGGACAGCCTCATCATCCACCTCGATGCTGCTGAGAAGGCCCGTCGCAAGGTGCGCTGGCGTTCGAACATATTGATAGATTGAGGCGTGCGCGGTGACAGTCTCCCACCCCTTGTTCTTTTTCGTGTGTGTGTGGGCGTGTGTGTGGGGTGGTCCCGTGCGGGGTTGCCAATGTAGCTGCCACACCTTTCTCCCTCTCATACGGCTACGTCCCCACGCTTTAGAACACAAAAAAGAAGACGCCGCCCGGTGTGGAGGAACCGGCCTCTATATTGCGGGGCATCGAAATTTCGCTCCGCACCAATCCTTTGAGCTGGGTCAAGGATTTTATCAACTATCAGCCCACTATTGACGAGCGAAACAAGGACACCAAACAACGTGCTGGAGGGCTGGACATCCTCATGGAATACTTTTCCTCTCTCGAAAACGACGAGCGGCACTCCGACGACAACTACTTATGCGTCCTCTGTCTGCGGGCTCTGATGAACAATGCTGTACGTGGGCATGGTCTCCTCGTTGCGTGTTGAACAGACGAACGCGTTTCTTCAACAGAACATATACCTGGCTCTACCATCAAGGCGTCCTCACTCTGGTGCACATGCGCGCAAACGTTCTCAGTTTGGTTTCAACACCGTCATGGCGCACCCCGATACCATCAACCAAATCTGCTTGTGTCTGGGCAGCGTCGATCCTTTCTCGGTATGTGCTACTGTAGCCTTCTCATCATCAACAAGCGACTTGTGCAGGATCTACACAGCTGAGATACCCGATTACGGCACATCGCGCTCGGGCTACGTACGCGAGCATCCGTGCCGCTCTCATGCGGAGGTCGTATGGCCATGTAGACTGGCTCAGATGAGCTGACCGCTGCGGAGGAAGGCGAGCAGAGCCGTCGGTACCGCACACACATTCTTGTTCTGGAGCTTCTTGCAGCTGTGTGCCTTGTTTCCAAGGGCCACGCTCGCATTTTGCAAGCCTTTGATAACTTTCAACGGGTATGCGAGACTGCTTGTGCTATTCGTTTTGGGCACCTTTGAAGTTGTCGGCGCCTTGTCCACGAGTCTCAAACCATGTGGCTGACTGGTTTGCCCATCGTTTCCACTAGCTTCATCAAGAGAAGCAGCGCTTCATGTCCATCATGCATCTCTTGCGCTCGGAGCGGCATCATGTGGCTGTCATGGTTGCTTGCATGGCCTTTGTCAATGTTGTGGTCCACTGTGTGCCCGACATGAATTATCAAGTCGCGCTTCAAGAGGAGTTTTCCAAAATGGGTCTCATGTCCCTGGTGCGTCAGTTTCCGCGCACACGCACACGCACACGCACGCGCGCACACACATGCTCGTGTGTTCACCAACCTGTCTGACGGTGCCGCCCTCTCAATGTGGCGTATCTGTCGTTCATCGGGTCTTTAGATTGATGATTTGGCCAAGAGTGCGGCTCCAGATCTCCAAGAGCAGATCAACGCCTACCAGGAGAACTTTATCAATGTGGCCGAGCTGGCTCGCGATGCGGAGGCCCATGCCATGGACCTGGAGCGAATTTCTCAGCTGGAAGAGCAGTTGGAGGATGTCAAGGCCGAGCTTAAAGAGGTTTCAGCCTTGCGCATCGAAGAAACCACCGAGCTCAAGTACGTTCATAATGTCAATTCTTGCAAGCAAAGTGTTTGCAGTTGCTTCTGCGGTGCAGGCCGCCTTTTTTGAGTCACAGTCTATGCCGTACCATGCGACTGAACGGAACACTCACATGCCCGTTTTCGGCCACATGTGAAACTTTTAGGAATGAAGTGTCAGACCTGCAGGGTCTGCTTGGAACCATTCGCGCGCGGTTGCAAGAGGAGAAGGATCGTCATGCCGCCACGCAAGTTCAGGCCACGCAGGACGTTAGCTCTCTCAAATCTGACCTGCAAGGGGCGCGCGATCGCCTCGTTGCCGTTGAGCAGAAGCTTGCTGAAGCCGAGTCCATTTCGGCCTCCATTGCGCGCCTCAATGAGTCGCAGGGCAAGGTGGACCGCAGCATGCTCCGCGACGTGGGTGTGAACACGGATGGCGATGCTGTTGATGTCACGAGCCCACCGCCGGCACCCGGCCCTCCGCCAGCAGCGCCCTTACCGCCACCACCACCGCCACCAGCTCCCCCGCCGGCGCCGGGCAGTGCCTTTGCTGTTCAGGATCTGAACGCAGGGGGTAATAAGCGCCGCGTGGAGGTGCACGCCAAGCTTCCCATGCTCAACTGGACGACCTTGTCCCAGGCGCAGGTGGCTGATACAATCTTCAAGGATCTTGATGATGACAAGGTCCTGGACGAGGTGGACTTTTCCTCCTTTACCGAGGCGTTTCGCCTGGACACGCAGGGTGGTGATGGCGCGAGCCGAGACTCTCATGCCAACAATGTGGTGACCACTTTGCGTCGCAAGGCCACGCATGGCCCTGATACCGTATTGGATTTGAATCGTGCGCGCAACCTGGCGATTGCTCAGCGCCGCGTGGGCACGGACGTCGATGCCGTCATTGCTGGCATCAACCGCCTCGACTTGAAGGTGGTTACGGCTGAGAAAGCAGAGCTGTTGCGTTCCGAGTACATGGCCTCTGATGAGGAGATGAGCATGCTGACCGAGCGGCATGACAGCGGCAAACCCATGGCCGAGGTGGACGTTTTCCTCTACCACCTCAACCGCGTTCCTCGTCTGCGGCAAAAGCTCATGCTTTTGTCGTACTTGGACAGCTGCGATGAAGTACTGCACTCGCTCTCGCCGGCAGCCAACAAACTGGAGACGGCCAGCCGCTCGTTGGTGGAAAGTCAACGCTTACGTCAGCTGTTGTCGATTGTTTTGGCGTTTGGCAATTACATGAACAGCCAGCGCCGAGGTGGTGCCTACGGTTTCAAGCTCTCCGTATTTACCCGCCTCTTTGACACGCGATCGCGCGACCGCTCACAGTCGGTGCTCAACTATGTCGTGGCAGCTGCTGAGGAGATGTATCCTGATTGCCTGCAATTCGCGGACGAGCTTCATTGCATCGACAAGGCAGCAGGGATTTCGATTGCATCGTTGGAACAAAACCTTCTTGGACTTGAGCGCACGGCCAAGGCAGTGTCGCAAGAGCTGGAATTGGATGCCACACACGAAGCGTTGCTGCATTTCCGGGACACGGTGCTGCCCCAGATCCATGCTGCCCGGGACGATGTGGAGCGGGCTCGAGCTGCATTCCGCCGTGCCGTTGAATTTTTTGCCGAGGACGAAAAGGCTGAGCCCTATGTCTTCTTCAAGACCTTTTTACAACTGGATGACCAAATCAAACAGGCGCAGGAACAGAATCGCCGCCGAGCCGAGGCGCAAGCACGCGCCGCCGAGGAGGCCAGGCAACAAGCGGCCGAAGATGCTCAGCGGAAGGAGGCCATGTTGCGGGGCGATGCGTTGCAGTCGTTGCCCGTCGGCGGACCTCGCAAAGCAACGCTGCAGCCGCGCACCAGCATCGATATCCGTGATGAAGTGGCGGATGGCGACATTGACAGCTTGATTAGTGGCTTGAAGGAGCAAGGTTATCGCCGTGGTGGTGTCAAAACGCAGCGGGGACGTGACCGCGGGGACGCCTATGGTGCTGCGCGACCTTGGCTCAAGTAGAAGGCTTGGGCATACGGACCAACAAGCTTTGGCTGACTTGCATTCTGCACATGCCTTGCAGATGCAAGGTGTTGTCCTTTTGCTCATTTTCATTGTGTGTGGCTTCCCTCTTCCCGTTTCTCTGTTTGTCGTGGCGCAGAGTTGTGGTTGGTCAGCTCCCTGATGAGCTTTGGATGCTTCTGTGCAATATGACTGTATCATATCTATCGGTCGTGCAAAGGTCAGACGCGGCCCGGGTGATCACCGGCTGTAATGTAATTGATAACACACCACGAGAACAAGCGCACACCAACGCCATGATGCACGATCGGGTGGCTGCTCGGGAGCCCGTTGAATAAAATAAAGAGTCAGGGTCGGGTCGATCGCCACGAACAAAAGGGTGGAACACTCAACGTGCCCAGTGTGTGGCAGACAAAGAGTGCCAGGCGGCTGGCAAGGATAAATAACAGAATGTTCTCAACCGCCGTGACAACGAGAGGAGAGGTCAGTTGTGCGCAGGGAGAAGGCGGCTAGTTTGCCTGTTCACACCAAGGGGAATGGGTGTCAAGCGGGTGGACAGTCGAGGAGCACGGTAAGCGTGCATCCACACGCGCTGAGGGTAGGCAGTCGAGTGGCGAGCAAAGGCAAGTTGTGGTCAGAGGGGGGCGGAGGGCAAGCGCAGCCGACGCCAGCTAGTGTGGGGAGAGATTGACAAAACGAAAGCAGGGAAAGAAGGCCTAAGGGGAGCTGCTTTTTGAGCTCAAGCTCGCAAAGTTATCCTCGTTCTCTTCGGGTGTGGCGAGAGGGGCCGGCGTGGCCAGCAGGGTTTGTGCAGCCTTGAGAATGGGAGTAGGTTCCTGTTTGTTGAGTCGTAGGAGTTCTTCAACGGTCTGCTTGAGAGCATGACGCAGCTTCTGGTTCTCGCTCTTGAGGTTTTGGTTTTCGTGGAGCATGTCCTCTTGCTTTTCTTTGCGACGGCGGCGGCATTGGCGAGCCGCAATTTTGTTCTTCTCGAGTCGGCGCTGACGCTGGGCTTCGACCTGACTTTCCGAGGCGACGCGTTTGGAGCGTTTGGGCAGGGGATTGGAGCTGGCCAGGCCTGCGTCGGGAGCCCGGGTCATGGCGCCTGCAGGGTTGGCGAGGCTGCCTTCATCCAGGGGGCCAAGCTGGCCACCAATGGGTCCAGGTCGGGTCGTGACCTGAGCTTGGCGCGCGGACCCGGCAGTAGAGGGAATAGCAAAGTTTAGGGCCGGGTCCATGCCACCGTTGTTGGAGGGCGTGGACTGAAACAAGCCCTGAGGGAAGAATTGACCGTTCTACTCGAGCAGGGCGGCGAGCGGTGCAATGCGGTGCCGGGTAGGGTCAGCATGTGGTCGAAAGCCAGCCGTCAACAGCAAATGAGAGCCAGCACACGACCGTCTGTGACAAGAGGGGAGAGAGAGACAGAGAGACAGAGAGACAGAGAGACCACAGCCAGTCGCGCCGTGGCGACGTAGACAGCCAGCCAGCCAGCCAGCCAGCCAGCCAGCCAGACAGCCAGCCAGCCAGACAGCGAGACCGAGGAAGGCAGTGGGACACAGGTACAGGTACAACATCCCCGCT